AAACCTTTAGGGATTGTTCGTTAAAAGAATTAAAGATAAAAAACAATGCTCACCGAATTTGAATACCTCAACTACAAAAAAAAAAAAATTGAAACGTTAGTAAGCGTTTCGTTATAAAAAAAATTTTTTTAAAAAAAAAAAATTGCTCTGTCCCACCAAAATCAATGATCCAGAAACGTCTAAAAAATTTCAGGTTCCAGCCAAACTTCTCAATGCCTTGAACCCGCTTAGAAAAAAACAACTCTATTTTTCATTGAGATTCAAATTAGTCTAAAGGAACGAAACGCTAGTATATTTTCGTCCAGCAACCCTACAAAAAAGTAGATTCTGCTCAGTTCTCCTTTACCTCAATTCCAAAAATCTGATCATATTTTTCGTCTGGCTAATCTTAAAAAAAGAAAAAACATAAATTAAATTATTTAAAAAAAAAATCACGAAACCCTTTTCCCCGACCTTCTCTTACCTTAATTCTAAAGTCCGGCAATGTTTTTCGTCCGGCAACCCTATCAAACAGAAAAAAATAAATTAGTTTAATTTATTAAAAAACAATGAAAAAGCTTTCCCTCAGCCCTCCCTTACTTCAATTCCAAAAGTCCAGCAATGTTTTCGTTTGGCAACTCTATAAAAAAGAAAAAAACAAATTAGTTTAATTTATTAAAAAACAACAATGAAAAGCTTTCCCTCAGCCCTCCTTACTTCAATTCCAAAAGTCCGGCAATATTTTTCGTCCGGCAACACTACAAAAAAGAAAAAAATATATTAAAAAAAAAATGAAAAACCTTCTCCCTCACCCTCCCTTACCTCAATTCCAAGAGTCCAGTTTTCGTCCAATAACCCTACAAAAGAGAAAAATAAATTAGTTTAATTTATTAAAAAAAAACAATGAAAAACTCCTCTCTTACTTCAATTCTCAAAGTCCGGCAATTTTTTTCGTCTACAAAAAAGAAATTTTTTTTTTTCCAAATCGGATTATCCTGATCTAGATTACAGATCGCATCTCATCCAATTCACGAGTGACACAAATTGCAGGAAAAGAAATTGATCATCAATCGGTCAATATTATATTGTTAACCGATTGCTACCCGATTTGACTTATCAACTTACCGGCTACGAATCGGGATAACATATTTTTTTTTAAGAGAAACTTCTCTTTTTCTTTTTTTTTAGGTTGCCAGACGAATAATATGACCCGGACTTTGGAATTATGTAAGTGAAGGAGAGGAAGAATAATATTTTATTTTTTTAGGAGAAATGTTCTAACGCTTCTCTTTCTTTTTTTTTAGGTTGCTGGACGAATAATACGAACCAGACTTTGGAATTTAGGTAAAAGGAGAGTCGGGAAGTAGGTTTTTTTTATTTTATTACGTTACTAAACGCTTCTTTTTTAGGTTGCCGGACGAAAACTACGAACCAGACTTTGGAATTATGTAAAGTGAAGGAGGGAGGGATAATATTTTTTTTTTTAAGAGAAATGTTTTAACGCTTCTCTTTCTTTTTTTTTAGGTTGCCAGACGAATAATACGAACCGGACTTTGGAATTTAGGTAAAAAAGGAGGTCGGGAGTGGATTTTTTTTATTATATTCTTTAAGAAACGTTACTAAACGCTTCTTTCTTCTCTTTTTTAGGTTGCCAGACGAAAACTACGAACCGGACTTTGGAATTTAGGTAAAAAGGGGGTCGGAGAGTGGGGTTTTTTATTAATTCTTTAAGAAACATTATTAAACGTTTCTTTCCTCTTTTTTCAGGTTTCCGGACGAAAACTATGACCTGGAAATAAAAAATTTGTAAATCGGAATGCCGTTCATCTTTATTAAATGAATGTTTTTTTAAAAGCCAATCGGTCACTAATCGGCTATTAATTTGGTAGCTGATTTTCTTTCATTGATCCAATTTTACATATTAAAGTAATAAATAAAAATCCTGAATTCTTAAAAACTATCAGATATTACAAACCAATCAGTAACCAATCGGTCACCAATCGCTTATATATGTTGCATCTTTTTACAATTACTGGTTACTGATTTAATCATATATACAGTGTGAGACAAAAAAATGAGAATTTTATTTTTGATTATTAAGGCTCAATTATAATAGAAAAAATGTGTGAAATTTACTGTATTTTAAAGCTTAAGATCAGCTAATTTTATTAAAAAAAATTTAATATTATACACATTTGCCATTATTTCAATAATTAATTTACAACTTCATCTAGTTGACTTTAAAATATCGATTAGAACGATTTTTAGAGTATTTTGGCATTTCTCCATCATAAATTCTTCCAAATAATTAAAATTTTTTTGGTATTCACTTCTCCGCCTTATTTTTTGTGATATTCTATAAATTTCAATAGGATTTTGGTCGGGCTATTTCATGACCATCCTGAAACTTCTGATAAATTTTCTTTTAGACTGAGCTTAAAAAAATAACTATTATGCATGGTAATTTCTCTTGTTGGAAATACCAATGAATGACCATAAAGCATCCAGAAGATCTCAGTAGCACATGTACAAAAAATTTCTGCATAAATCTCGATGTTTATAATTTGTCTGAAACAAAATAAACTTGCTTTTTCCTTCACAAAAAACTGCCTCATACCATAATTTCTTATATAATCTTCAGATGTACAACAAACAGGTCTTTCCTCTTTATACTAATATTTAAAAGTGTTACTAAAGAGTTGCAAGACTAATTTATTAGCAGATAAATTTTTTTCCCATTAGTTATAATATTATTTTGTGTCCACTTTACATGTCTTTGCTTGTATGCTTCAATTAATATAGGAGTTGCTTTGGGAAGTTTTTTTTACATAATCAACACTTGAAGAATGACTTCTAATTGTTCTATATTATACTTTTCACCTGTATTTTTTAATTTTCTTGCTAAAGTTCTTGTAGAAAAGGATGTATCATGCCTTACATATTGACTGAGTTTATGGAATGCACTTGTGGTAATTTTTTTTAGATCTTTCATTCCCTCTAGAATACTCCAAAAACTAGTTTTTTTCAATTTTTTTTGTTTTTATAAACTGTTGACAATAAAAATTACATGGGGTTGTGTAATTCTTTAATATTATATATACCATTATTTTATAAGTCTAATGAGAATTTATTATAGGTTTTTCCTTTTGCACAAGTTATTATTTTGGAATTTTTTACGAAAATAAAGGGCGTTAATAAATGTAAAAACAGTCAAACGTAGTCACAGATGTAAGATTTATTATGTATTTAAGTGGTATAAATTTTAGTTTATTTTGGCGATATAGATTATTTTTACTCACATGATTACTTTTCTCATTTTTTTTTGTCCTACACTGTGTATATATTTTTTAATAAAGTATAATAAAATGTATTAAAAATTTAATTTTTATGTATGTTTTGTATATAGTCACACTTCTTTATAATTACGGAAAATGGCTTATCCCAAATGTGTGACTATAAAGAGAGTTGACTGTAGCATTTATTATAAATATTTTTGCTTGTATTGACATTAAACTATGAAAAGTAAATATTTGCGATGATAAACAAAGCGATAACATCATGAAATGTCAAACAGAAATAATAAATGAAAAGAATTATGCTTCTATTACTTAGGAAGCTTTAATCTTATATAGATATTAAAGGTTGTTAAATAATGTTTTTTTATTTTTCACGGGCTTTTTGATCTTTTTTTTATGATAGATTATTTTTAAGGTAGAATCTATAAGATAAATGTGATTGCCATATTTTTTAGAACATACCTGTAGTTTTTTTAAGTGAACAATTTGATCTTATTTGTTTTATTTGTTTATAATTAGTTTCTGTTTTCATTTAATTTATATCAATTTAGGTTTCTTAGCAAAGTGAAAGCCATTAATGTTACTGTGAATCTATGTAATTATTTATTTTAAAAAGTTTAGTTAGTTTTTTTTGAAAGTTTTATTGTCTGGAGCAAATGCAAAGGACTATATATGTCTACGCACTATAAAAAATAATCAATCATGTATCCTAAAATTCTAAGGCATTATGCTGCTAATCAGTAGAAAATTGTGATTACGTGAGTTTTTCTGTTCAGAAATTCCAAGGCATTATGCTGCTAATCAGCAGAAAATTACCAGAATTCTAAGACGTTATGCTGCTAATTAGTAGGAAATCGCTACTATTCTTAATATATATTAACTTTATTATTATTATTATTATGATATCTCACTCTGAACTTACAATAGTTCCCGTTTTCTAGTTTACATGAATTACTAAAATTAAGCAGAAATTATTTTTTTTTAATATGAAAGAAATAAATTCTAATAAATATGTACAGCAGATTATTATTTAAAGAACACCTTATCATGCAAAAAATATGTGAAAGATAAAATTCTTTTATTTATCATTTTAATTCCTCTGATTAATAAAATGAGAAGTACAATGATACTTTGAAGGATATTTACTGTCCTTATAACCATATGTCTTAACTTAAACTTCTATGAGCTACAGGCAGAATCTTCCAGTTAATATTATCCTGTAAATTATTGGTTTATTTAATTTACGCAATAGTTCTTCCATTACAGTGTATGCTGTATACTTGTACAAAAGCCTGTGCTATGCCTTGGTTCAACAATATTCCAATAATCCACCGTGTTAGAGGTTTGCTTCCATGGCTTCCATTTAACATTGTTTTAACACTCAACCATAATGGTTTCTTTGTAAGTAATTTTACATCTCTGACCTTTTTTTTCATAAACCCAAATGCACTTTCTCTGGCTATACATCCTTAGTTCAAAAAACAAATGGTAATGGTAAGAATAATTTATATAATATTTAGTGGGATAACTGAGTGATATAAGATTTCAGCAAGGGCCAATATTGGAAAAAAATAATCCATTTGCCATTTATAAGATAGAGTCAATAGACCTTTACTAATTTTTTATTATATATGATTAACCTAAAGGCACCTTAAATTTGGTGGATTGTGGTTGACATCTATTATCTAATCGGAACATATTTTGGTATGTATTTTTGAGCTATGTGTCTGAACATTTCTTGCTTAGTTTTAGTAATTTTGTTTTTAGAGAGTTTGGGTATATATATAGTAAAATAAATTAATCCATAAATTATCAGTATCAAATAATATCCTGTGATTCAAGGGCATTTATAGTTTTTCGGTCGTACAAATTGTTCATGGTGCTAATAATAAATGATCTTACCACACCACCTCAGAAAGGTGTGATGCCTAATAATACATTCAAAAGACATTAATATCGGATGCAACATTGCAACATGTTACTGATTTTAATTATTAAGTTAACTGATCGAAGTGATCGATATACAATATATGCAACTTGATGTATAGAATCCCTCTGCTTACTCTTTTTTCATTATTAAATTGATATAAAACGAAGCATTACCAACTAACCTTGCAAAATTTTTTTGTTAAAGTTTTACATACACAGAGGGTTTCTTAGATTCCCATAATAAATGATAATCTTATCAACTATCAAAGGACGTGTTTAAATGACGATTATTTTGATAATCTATTTTATTTTTATTTTTTTCTTGTTCAATAAATAGTTTATAATACAAAAGATCATTAATTTTTATATGATCCATTGAATATGCCACATTAATAAATTATTTTATTATCCCCTAAATACTGTACAAAAGATGGAGAATTAACTAATAATCATATTCGCCCGTTCCATTTTTAACCTCTGAAGTTTCATTCGGTTCCTCTATATTGCTAAACAGTTAATATCGGGCATTAAAAAAAAACAAATTGATACAAATATTAATTAAAATAAAAATACTGCTCACCATTATCAAAATATTTTTCTATTTAATATGATTAAAAAGACAATATTAATGAATAATACTTTTTAAAGATAAAAAACTACTCAAATGTATGTACCTTGTATCTCTTGTTCCTGTACATTAACATCATCATATTCCTCGTTAAAATCAACCGCATCATAATCAAAGTCAGGCTGTAAAGTAAAAATTAATACTTTTAATCAATATTTCGATAAATTTCTTCTAAATCACAGTGTTAATTTCACACTTACATCATCACCAGACATGAACTTATTTCTCATGATATCCACAAGATCAGCCCGTAGTTGTTGTTTTTCTTCCTCAGATATCTGTGGTACATCTTCATTATCAGCCATACCATCTCCTTTTACTTTTTTCTCAATTTCGTTCTCTTCCTCCTCTTCCTCCTCCTCCTCCTCTTCTTGTTCTTCTAGAATTCTTTTCTCTTCTTGTAACCTATCATGGATATAACTTTGATCTATATCATAATAAACTCTATCAATTAAATCTACATCATCATCAAATTGTTTGTATCTTTCTTCTTCAGGAATATATTGACCGACATAATCTTCATATAAACTTGGTTCTCTCATTTCAATAGCTTCGTCACCAAAATATGATGTATTATCAAGCATCGTTGTAAGATATTTATACCTTCTATTAAGAATTTGTTTATTATGTCTTGAACTTGGTAAAAGTTGCTTTGATATTATTGGAGGTTCACTTGCTATCGATGAAGAAATAGTGTTTTTGTTTTGTGTAGATAGCAATTTATTTAAATGCCAATTTACTTCATAATCGCCTAAAATCAATCAAAATCGTTACTTTTTTTTAAAAAAAGTACCTATTTTTTATTATTCATATACCTCTTAAACATTCGAATTTTTCCAATTCATTTTTAGGTAAAAATTTACCCCATTTCGTTAAGAACAAAGCAGGATCATTTTCTAATGTTTGTTTCATTGTAGTTAATTTTTCATCATCAGTAGCTTCGATTTCATTTTCTCTTAATGTTTTAAATTGTATCGATGATAAATTTTTTGAAATATGGTCAAAAATTTCTTCTTTTGTATTAATATCCATTTCAAATTAAGGTAGAAAGCTAATTCAATAGATCTGACGATCCTTAACTGTTAATTGATAATGTTCGCGTGATATACATCTATGACGTTCATTTTACTATATAAACGGTACTAAATTATCTAAACATCTAAAACCTAAGTGCAATATGGAAAGAGAAAAAAAAACCAAAAATCTAAACTAGGTGATACAAAAGTAAATTTTTCTTTTGCGACGTATCATTTTAAAGCTGGGAAGATTTAAAAGGAAGTAATACTTATCAGAATTTACTTTAGAATTATCAATACAGTAATTGAGAAACGTTTTCAAGGTATATTTTCTTATTACTTTTATGTCGCAATATTGTACCATGAATTTTATTTTTTACAATTTTAATTTTTTTTTAGAAAAAGAAATTGAAAGTAAATGAACTAAAAAAAAGCGGGAATGGAAGGGAAATAGTGAAGACAAATCGTTAGTAGATTTCTTAAAAGCAGACGTGTAAATAGCAACTAATAAAAGAAGATACGCATCAAACAAAAAATTATTGATCTAAATAGAAAAAAGCAGGAGATACTACACTGCCACATAATCGCGCAATAGTACTCTAATATTAATTAAATAATTGGAAATTGATACGCAAACTCTTCACATATTAAGAAAGACGAGTTTGTTCATGAGAAAATTGTAATGCATATAAAAGGTTTAATCGAAATCAAAGATAACGATAGATATGAATTAGATTGGAAGGTGTCGATAAAGAAATTATAACAAAAATTGGCACGCAATGTAAAATTTTAATTAAGCCTCAAAAATAAGTATATAGATTATCAGCAAGAGGTGTAAAAAAAATGTTGAAAATTAATGATTACAAGAATTGTTCTGCAATGGTTGAGCGCGGAGAAAAATAGTGTGCCCAGTTTCTTCCCTCTAAATTAGAATGTGTCTTAACTTAGGAGAATTCTTCCTTCTAAATTTACATGCAATAACTTCTACGGACTTGGAACTTCGTTATTCCGTTCTAGCTATTAAATGATGCTTATAACTCCTGAGTCCTGACGTTAACGTTTTAGTTGTTTTACTGCCGCAAAAAGTTGTACAGTACAATAACAGATGTGTCATGAGGTTTCTCGTATGGTGAAAGGAGGGATAGCACGGGCCCGCACCAAATCAAAATAGTATAATGCTCCACCATCACAAAATACTGTATCATGCAGCCATGAGGGTTTTCTAAACTAAAAAGATTCACCGCATAGAGTGCACAGATTGCGCAGAAGATCGCAATTGTAAGATTATCGGGGTCAGTTAAAAATATACATGGATAACTTGTCAATTATAAAATTTATCTATATTCACATGCTTTAATGAGTTTATCATATCTAGACAGTCGTCCTTGGTTGAACGGTAAGAATCTATTATAGCATGAAATGCTTCATATCCAACTTGCAGTATGTTTGCCCATCATAGAGCGGCAAATACGAAACGTGTATATCGCATTTAATTTGTAAATGTCTATTCTTTTTTATTCAAGGCTTTTTCTGAAGGGAACAGTATATCGGGATGGATCGGATTTTACGTCCTAGGTTCTGGTTGGCTATCTTTTGAAGCTTCGTGGTGATAAGGTTACGTGACTTTTGCTGGAAAATAGAATTAAGCTTTTAGTGTTATAACGTAAAGAAAAAAAGTTCACAAATATAACAGTTAATGCAGGTAGATTATGTGACGTCCCAAGACTATCCAACAACGTGTAGCACAGTGGAAGCTGACTGGATACTAGCAGATTATTATCAATTGGTGGAATGATTATGTTAAGATGTTCGTTATGAAATGTGGACAAAATCTCTTCAATATTTCATCTTTATTGCTTTTACTGGGAATTTAAAATTTTGATCACAATTATAAGAATCTTGGACTTATGATTAATTCTGGAAGAGGGTTTTTTATATTTTTGTAATATGTAAAATTAAAAATATGTACTCCTTTCTTGGATTTTTTTTCAATTATCCATGACAGTTACTCGTTTTTAAATGGCAAGATTTGTTTATTTTAAACAGATTTTAAATTATTATATTGTCAATTACTATTATTTATCAAAATTCGAAGGTCACTTACTGGTGTATACGAGGTTATATTGTCTACTGCAGGTTACTATGATTAATTAGATAATTATATAAAAGGGTTAAAGGTGACATATACAAATACTGGCTATGGAAACGTTCTTTAACGTTTCGAAATCTTTTTATGGCGCTAAAATTAATGGTAGAAAGGTTGATGGAACATAAGAGGGAAAAAAGAACTGGAAGATACAATATGAGAGGTTATTTGTCAACTTTGTCAACTTTATAATTCACTTTTTAAAGTATTCTGGAACTTATTAAAATTTTTGATTTTTCAACTTTTTTTTTCATCGTAGTATAATCGTTAAACAAAAATGTTTTTAAAGAATCCTAATATTTCATAATGATCGAACTTTTAGATCATAAAAGAAACTATATTTCCGTTGAATTCTGTATATCTGATATCATATAATCTGTTACTAACAAATTATCTAAATTATATTTTTTTCCTATCGATCTAACTAATCCCAAAATTATAGTATTATCAATCCCTTGAGTGATAAAATTTAAAAGTTTACACAAATTTTTTTGCTATGGGGTTGGTAAATATATATAAGCAGTGATGTGCATTTTGTGCTTCCAATAGAATAAAATTCGGATTGGAAGCTTCCAATCCAAAGGTTTTATTAGTAAATTATGCTTCCAAATCTTCCAAAGGTGCTTCCAAGAGTGCTTCCAATCTTCCAATGGCACATCACTGTATATAAGGTCTAGACCACGTTTTTTTAATCAAAAAAAGAATACTAAACCTAATTTAAATTATTGTATTACACACAAGTAAATAAATAGGTTGTTTCTTCAAACTCTTATCACTTGTCTTAAAAAATAAATACAAACTCATGAAATTTACGATAAAAAAAAAATCCTTGAATTTGAGGTCTTGATATGATGAGTCTAAAGGTTTCTCTCTCAATGTTTATGACATTATTTGGCTTAATTTGTATTATTAATGAAACAAATGGATTGGATAATGGACTTGGTAGAACTCCTCCGATGGGATGGAATAGTTGGAATAGGGTAATTGTTTACTGCGGAATGAATATCGAAATAAAATAATATAATTATTTCTCAATTGATTTCAGTTTAATTGTACTATTGATGAGAATCTAATTAAACAAACTGCTGATGCTCTTGTTGATTATGGATTACGTGATATTGGTTACAAATATTTGAATATTGGTAAAAAAAATTACATTTCAAATTTTTTTAAACTTATTTAAATGTATTATATTTACTACGTAATCGTTTTTCTAGATGATTGTTGGATGGGTGAAAGGGATGAACAAGGATACATTCATGCTAGCAACATCACGTAAGTTTAATTAAGTGATAATTTATAATATTAATTATCCAATGCTCATGACTGTATTCTCTATAAGATTTCCAGGTGGAATTAAAGGTAAACCAAATTTTATTTTCTCGAATTATGTAATTCTTAACCTAACGCGTATTTGATTTTATAGCATTGGCTGATTATACGCATTCAAAAGGACTTTTATTTGGAATTTATAGTGATGCAGGGTATCGTACATGTGCTGGACGAATCGGAAGTCTCGGTATTTTAAACTTCTACATATTCTAAATACGAATGTTTCAACCGGTTTTATTTATTTATTTTTTTTTTATAGGATTTGAAGATGTTGATGCAATAACATATGCATCATGGGGAATTGATTATTTAAAATATGATAATTGTTATAATGAAAGTATACCTGAGCGACAACGATATGAGGTGAGTGAAATTTAAATTTCTTTGACCCGGAATAAATCATTTAATGTTAATTTATATATAATTATTCTTTTTTTTTAGATTATGCGTGATATGCTCAATGGTATAAATTGTATCTGTTAGTTCGTTGCAGTTAATATTTGTATTAATATTTAACGCCATTTTTTCTTAATCAGCCACTAAAAGACCTATTTTTTATAGCATTTGTGAATGGGGGTATGAGATTTTTTATCGTAAAATGCGATTATATATTAAACTTTTCTTTTTAATTAACGCAATATTATATTTTTAGGGTAAGCCAGCCGTTCCTTTGGGCGAATGAGGTTGGAAACAGGTATCTCATCAATTTCTCTTTTTCATTGGTACTTTCACATATCTAAATTTATTTAATCATATAAGTTGGAGAACAACAGGAGACATTCATTTAGGATGGGAATCAATTCTAGATATATTACAGCAACAACATAAAATTACACAATATGCAGGTCCGGGTGGTTGGAATGATCCTGATATGTTACAAGTTGGTAATGGTAATTTAACTATTGATGAACAAAAAAGTCATTTCTCTTTATGGGCTGCTCTTAAAGCTCCTCTTTTACTTGGTTTTGATGTAAGTTATAGTTTTATTAAACTGATTACTATTTAAAAGACAAATGATGGAGATAATAATAAAGCTTTTTTTTGCTTGTTTGTAGATTAGATATCCACCTACTGATGTTTTGGGAATTGTGAATAATACTGAAATTATTGCTATTAATGTAAGTATTATTAGATTGTGAATTTTAGATTTTATAGAGATATAAGTTGAATTAATTAATAAATTATATACATTCTTTTAGCAAGATCCGTTGGGAAAATCTGTAAATATTGCTCAAAGTACAAAACGTATGGATGTTTGGACTGGCGAATTATCTGACGGTTATGTAGCTTGTAAGTTCAATCGGTTTATAAAAAAAAAGATAAATATATAATTTAGTTATTAATAAAATATTTTTTATTTAGTATTATTTAATAAGGCTGAAACATCTATTACCATTAATTTAAATTTTACTGCACATCTAAACGTACAAGGTGAACTTTCAATTAGAGATTTATGGGAACATGAAGACAAAGGAGCTTATAATGACAGGTAATTTATGATCTTTTATCTTATTTTAAAGAAAAAAAAGTTTCCATTTATTTAATCATTTATTTTCATTATTATCTATGTATAATAGCTATTCACGTGAAGTACCTAAACATGGTATAGTTGTATTAAAACTTACTGGAGGAACAAAGATTAAAGAATATCCTGATTTCATAGATCAATATAGTGATGCTGCATTAAGTGAATTTGTAATTAAATACGGTGTTTTTGTTTTATTATTGATTGTTATTGTATTTCAATATTATATTCGTTACTTTTGTAAATAAAAAAAATAAACATGTTTCTGTTCTTTGTTGCTTTGTTGGTGAATATTCCATATTTATAATAATAATCTTAAAGTTGATCATCGAAAAAAATAATTTTGACAAGCAATATTGAATTTTCAAGACCATAAAATATCTACACAAATTACTTTCTTTTAACAATTCTATTATCTCTCTTTGAGCTACTAATAATTCCACTTGTATGTTGATGACTTTTGTTCTTAATTCTTCATGTTCAGGACAATATTTTTGTTTCTTTCATAAATAGTTCATATCAGTATTGAAAAATAAAAAATTTAAATGCAATTAAATACCTTATACCATGCATTAACAATATCAGATATCTATCATATTTATCATAAATTTTTTCTTTGGATTTGGAATGAAGTTGCTTTTTAAAATGCTCAGCTCCTTGAAATAGGACTAATGTTTGTATTTCTATAAACTCTTTCAAAAATCCTATAATAAATTCTTTTATCAAAAAGTATCCATTTTTTTAATAATAAAACTTTAATATAGTTTTACCATATTTTGTTATTATGCCTTTAGTTTTAATAAATAACCTTATATTTCTTTAAATACTATATAAATAGGATTTACTTTTTTATAAAATAATTTATCTTTATCATATTTAAAAAAATGCTTGTATTTTAAATTTTAATATATATTAAAATATATAATTTCTAAAAATGATTAATAGTTTTAAAAATTATAATCCTTTTTGGTTTTATATAACAAAAAAACTGATTATATAAGATGCAATCTCTTATAATCTTTATTAATTATGTTATAAATCAATAAAATTGCAGTTTTTTAAGAATCATAATTTTCTAAAGACTAATTAATATATACTATAAATTATATTATAATATTAAAATAATAAATAGAATTTTTTTATTTATTTAAATAATTAAAAGTAAACTTTATATTTTTAAAAATGTTTAAAATTTTTAACTTAAACTAAATTAAATAAAACTAATATTGTAAATTACAAGTATATATTGATCAAATTTGTAAAACTAATATATAATGATGCAAATTTATTATTCAATATACTTTAAAATATTATTTTATAATATTTAAAAAAAATTTTTTGGAAAAATTGCTTTAAAAGCAAATTAATTTGCAAAAAATAATTTCTTGAAATGTATTAATTTATAATTCACCAGTGAACCATAAAACTTGGCTATTAAATTCTGGTAAAAGTTATATATATATTTACTAATAATGTGGAATCTACAATTCTAGTAATGCAAGGTACAAATTACTAAAATAATATAATATAAAAACTAATATTATAGGCATAAAAATATGCCAAATTTTAAGCATCAAAAGACACTTTTATAAGAGCTGAAAATTTGAATTTAAAAAAAAAATCTAGTATTTTAAAAATTTTAAAGATAATGTTCATCATCTAGTAATCATGGAAAAATAAAATTTGGTTCATCAAATTCGTTTCATCAAGATGCATTTAATAGTAATATCTCTACAACTAATATAAAGTAAGTTATCCCATATTTTTTTCCAGAATCGCAGATTTTAAATTATTGATAAAATATATGTGAACTTATCACCATCTTTTAATAGTCAAATTTTATAGTTTACTGGCAAATAATGAATTAACTAATTAAATATATTAAGTATTTCTTATTATAATAAATTAGCTAATTAAATTCTTTAAATTCTTTATTATAATTTTATAGCAAATTTGAAATGAAAACCAAAAAATTCATTATATCAAAAGCTAACTGTATATTTTATAAATTATAATTCAATAATTATAAAAAGATGAAATACTACTTATTGGATTTATTTTAATAAGATGAAAAATTAAATAGTAGTAATTTTATATATAATAAATATTAAATTATATCATATATTAGAATTTTATATTTTTATTTACTATGTATTTTTACATTTTATTAAAACTATCACCATTTGACTTATTTGCTAAGATAATAAATTTAATAAACTGTATTTATTTCAGTTTATTATAATTATTAGATAATAATATAATGATAAAATATATATTTTTTAATTTTATTAAAAAATTTTCTATTAAAAAATATTTCCAAATAAATCCTTAAATAAAAAAAAATTTCTCAAATAAAAAAAATTATATTTTTTAAAACAAATAAAAAATTTTTTTTTAAATGATTTTTGAAAAATTTTTTAAACAAAAAAGATTTTTAATAAAAATATTTCAAAAGTTTTTTAATTTTAAACATATAAAAAAAAATTTAAAATAAGTTTATTTAAAATTGAATTCTAATATTATATATATATTTTTTTAGGGTTTTACTTTATCTTTTACTTTAAATTAGTAAGTTTTAAAAGTTATTTTTTTTAAGTATCAGCAATAACCAGTGATACTTTAACATAATTATGTTAAAATGTTACTAATGATTTAGATTAGATTATGTAAGTAACTTCATAATCTATAAGTGATTTCATAATCTAATAATAACTTCTAGTATTTCTTACAAGTCAAATCGAATTGAATTTCAAATTAATTTTTTATATAATAAAATTTGTTTTACGCTAATTTTTATAGTACTTTAACTATATTATTTATATTATGCAAGTCTATGCGAGTTATTTTGAGTTACATATGCGGAACACTAATAACTTCATAATCTATAAGTAATTTTATAGTCTAGTGATAATTTCATAATCTATAAGTGGATTTATAATCTAGTAGACTAGTAGTAATATTATAATCTAATTATATAAACTAACAGTTACTTTATAACCTAATTACATCTAGCTGTGACTTTATAATCTGTTAATAACACTTTGATCAGTTATTTGTATGCTTTTTAGTTATTATTTTAATTATTTTATACTTTATTATAATAGGTAACATTATATTTTAATAGTAACTTTATTATATTTAAATTAAAATTTAAGTATATTATAAGACTATTATAAGTACATTTTTTATGTATTTAAAATATACTTAAAATATATTATAAAATATATTATAAGTATATTTTAAGTATGTAAAAAATATATCTATAATATACTTGAATTTTAATTTAAGTATAATTTAAATATATTTTAAGCATTTAGGCAAAAATTAAATATATTAAAAATATATTTTAAGATAATTTTAAATACATTTTAAGTATATTATAAGTATTTTGCAATTTTTAAATTAAATATATTTTAAAAAGTTTTTAATTATATTTTAAATATAAATACTTTTTATAGGGTAATGATTAGACTGATAAAGATAGAAAGACTGGTATTAGTATGATAAAATGAATATGATTTTTAGAGTACATTAATGAAAATATAACTCCTTCTTTCTGGTAAATAGAAAAATAGGTATATTTAAAAAAGAAGCAATTGAAATCAAAAAGAAGGATAAAAAACAGAAATAAAAACTTAAAAATAATATTAAAGTTATGGTTACGGCAATAGCTAAAATGAATCAGGTACAAGAAAGAATTTGGAAAAAAAAAATAGAAGTTAAAAAGAAGAGATAAGCATATAAAAGAGAAAGATCAAGGATGGAATTTGAATTAAGAATGAAAGAATTAGATTTGAAATTACAAAAAAAGATTAATTTTATATTTTAGCCTTTATTTTTGTATTAATTTTTTTTTTTTATTGAATTTAATAAAACATTAAATATTATTGAAATAACTGGGTTATTATCTGATTTCTTTTTAATTTTCTTGCTTTTTTTAAAGGATTTTCACTTAAATTGTAAATATTATTATTTTCTTTATTATCATTATCACTATCATCATCATCATTATTGTTTTCATCTAGTTTATTCCAACTATTATTATTTGTTTCTAAAAAATTATATAAAATTATACAATACTTAGTAAAATGAATGGCAGTTGATATTTTCTAATATTTAATTCTTTTAAATTACTAAAACTATTTTTAAATCTACAAAATGCATTTTTTACTACTATATGATATAAAAAATGAGTAATATTAAATTGTATTTCTAAATTATTTTCAAAGATTATTAAAGAGTTTAATGAGAAAGATAAATAGTGGATATGTAGAATTCCCAAGTAAATAATCCAATCCTTTTATAAATGTAAAAACATTTTGATAAAAAAAAAGAATTTTGGTACACTTTAGTATTATGAATAAAACCTGGCCATTTTATTTTATAATCAATAAAAATGCTATAATAATTAACAATAGTACAATACCTTGACATTGAATTGAATACTTTTTTTATGATTCTAATAAATTTTAAATTATTTAAATGGAGCAGTTTCTAATATTATATGGGTACCATTTATATTACCAATAACATTATTAAATTCTTTAATATTATTAAATCAGGACCCAGAAATATATATATAAAGGTCAGGTGGTGAAAAATTTTTTTACTATAAGCTGTATGCAGAGACTTTTTATATGAGTAGTACACATAATTGACACCTGATATTGAAAATCCTGCAAAAATACACAAATAAAATTTCAGATATTAAGTTATTAATTATTTTATTATGGTTTCTATATTATTTATAAAACCAAGTACTAATGTGAAAAAATAGAATTTACCATTTTTTTAATTAAAATTTCACTTTTTAACCCTTAGAAATTTCTTTCAATTAATACTAAATATTACAATGCGGTTAATTAAATAAATATGTACAGTAAATATATTATATATATAAGATTAGCCAAATTTAGACTAAAAATACGCAAACTAATTTTTTACATATAAAAATTTTGATAAAAAATACGCAATCTTGATGATCTAACTATAGATGAAAAATTCTAAAATTGTACGCAAATCAAAACTTTACTCTGTCTAATTTCACTATAATAGCGACACATTTGTGTACCCTACCCCTATATAGTATATATTTCTGGATCCTATTAAATCCTAAATAAATTATCTTTCTTAATTTACCTGTTGGTTATTTAACTAATTTACTTTTTAATAAAAAGACAGCAATTATAACTCTTTTGCAATATAAATAAACAGTACCTTTTGAAATACTATATTTTGATGAACATAT